AGCTCATGTTTCTGTACAAGCTGGACCTTCTTCGTCGAAAGGCGGGAAGAAGAAAACGCAAGTGCAGAAAAAGAGTGGTGGAACTAGTGGGAGCAGTGGGAGTGGTGGGAGCAAAGCAGTAGCGCCTTCTGGTGGTGTGGTGAAGCCTAAAGGCAAGTGCTTCAAGTGCAACAAGACAGGACATTGGAAGTCAGATTGTCCCCTCAAGGACGCTCCTGGTACGTCTCTTGCTTTAGTTGTCGAAACATGCTTTGCGGCTTGTTCTACCAGTTCTTGGGTAGTAGATACAGGAGCCACTGATCATGTTTGTTATACTTTGCAGGGGTTTCTGCAAAGAAGGCAGCTCAGTGAGGGCGAGATTACCATCAGCTTGGGCAATGTTGCACTGGTTGCAGTGGGAGATGTGCACTTGTCTTTTTCTGATTCTGTTTTAGTATTAAAGAACGTTTTGTACGTGTCGAGTTTTCGGAAGAATTTAATTTCAGTTTCGAAGTTGTTTTTGGATGGATATTCAGTTATTTTTAATGACAATTTTGTTATTATGAGAAATAACTCTTTTTTCTGTTCTGGCATGTTGGTTAACAATCTTTATACTATTACTTGTGCATATCATACTGTGACAGAGGCTCATGCATCTTCATCACTAAACAAGAGAAAGGAACCTTCTCAGTCGAATCAGACATATGTTTGGCACCTAAGATTGGGTCATGTCAATCTAAGGAGGATCCAAAGGCTGGTAGGTAATGGCTTCTTATATTCTCTCCAAGTTGAACCATTTCCAGTCTGCGAATCCTGTTTGGAAGGCAAGATGACTTATAGGCCCTTTAAGGCCAAGGGGAATAGGTCCAATGATGTGTTGGAATTGATTCACTCTGATTTGTGTGGGCCTATGTCTATTCAAGCTAGAGGTGGTTTTGAGTATTTCGTTACTTTCATTGACGATTACTCAAGATATGGGTACATTTACTTGATGCGCCGCAAGTCTGAATGCTTTGACAAGTTCAGAGAATTCAAGGCAGAAGCAGAGAACCGTCAAGGGAAAAGTATCAAGTCACTGCGATCTGATCGTGGTGGCGAATACCTTAGCAATGAATTTAGGCAATACTTATTAGAGAATGGGATTACATCCCAGCTGACTGCGCCTGGTACTCCCCAACAGAATGGCGTAGCAGAGAGGAGGAATAGGACTATGTTGGAAATGGTGAGATCGATGATGAGCTATGCTTCACTACCTACCTCGTTTTGGGGATATGCCTTGAA